CCTTTCGGGAATGGTCAGCAGTGCGCATTCCATCGGACGCTACAAACCAAGCTGCTTATAATGCTAAAAGTTAATTGGCGGCTTAAGTTTGGTAAGCTCGTGGTTTGGTGAAGGGGCTACCCTGTCCTCTGCATTGCAGTAACGTGTAAGTCAGCGGCGCTATATCACATCTAGTAACTTATTTATGATGGTCGTTACCATCCCCTGTAGCTCAGTGGTCTCAAGCACGGAGTGCCAACAATCGAGTTGCGGTTTCCGGCCCTACCAGGATCCAATGGAATGCGCACTGCTGACGATTCCCGAAAGGATGAAACGCACGTACAGTGCTTTTCCGGGCGTGTGACGGCTGTGTGAGTGAGCGTAGATGTGACGAATTTCTACCTATAACATTCAACTTTCCCTACTACTCTTCTGTAATCAATATCGCTTTTTGATGTAATTCATGGGCACATTCATACACGTGGATACTCTACTCAATTGCAACACAATAAGCGTTACCTTATCCGTAATAAAAAAATGAACTTGCGAATGCAAAGTCGCTCACCAACATGCGGGCAAAGTTTTTTCCTTATTAGATCTGCAATGATCTGGAATCGTCTTCCACTGTTCATGCATTGTCTCATGCACATCTCCACACATGTTTCGTGTACAGGTAGATAAATGTTTCACAGTCCCAAAAGCTATGCAACTTTTCAAGTTGGATATTACTGAGACAGAGATATATCAGAAGGGACCAAAGGGCATATAATGCATGTCCGTGATACCTCCCAGTGGTACACTTAAAAGCTTCATTGACATCACAGAAGGCAAAAAGAAAGAAAAATGACCAAATTTTCATGCACAATCTTCCGGCCATACCAACTCCAAGGCCTCCATATCAATATGGTGGCTAAAGAGGGGCGTTAAACCGAGTCCACTTCTTCATTCATCCGACCAATGTTATATTCTTTCCATACTCGGTCATATCGACTTCGAGGCTTTCATGCCCACATGGAAGTCAACGACGGAAGGTTAAACTGAGTTCTCGTTTTCACTCCTTGGATCCTTGCTGTATCCTCTCGTTAACCGGCCATACCTATCTTAAGGTCCCCATGACCACATAGATGCCTAGGAAGAGGGTCAACCAAGTACTCATTCTCTTCTACCCGACGACTATTACACTATTTCTTTTCAATGATCTTGCAAAGAGCGACGGTTTCTATTGCTAACTCTGTCACAGATAGGCATGCGCGTGTATCAAGGTACCATAAAAGACAGATCTCCTATGCGCCTCCCCAAACCAGTGTTTGAGTACCGCCTCCGCTACAGATCCCGAAATATCGGCAGGCATATTGGCGATATTTAGGAATACAAGCCTGACCAATTGTAATGAAAGACAATCTCGAACGTGATATCATTAGTTAATATGCATGCTTCCCTTATGTCTACTCAGTGTGTGCTCTTGATCACATTATTAATAACCTGTATCGTACTTTCTGCACAATATTTTAAATTTGCTAGAATTAACATAAGTACGGCAGTCTTCTCTGCTAGCAAATCGATTAACCTATCCATTGTTCTATCTTTCCAACAGGTCTCTTCCTCCAAGCTTCGTCCAAATACTGCGAAGAAATATTCCCATACGCTTGGCTGTTTGGCGTGTTGATTGCGTTCTGCTACATGACGAAACAATCAAGCTAAGCCGCTTCAGACTACTGTGCCATAATAGACTACACCGCATGCCGAGTATATGTAAGCATTTGACTAAGAAAAAAATGCTAGATTGCAAGACTTTCGCGAACTACCAATCAACATGTGATTGACACTGTTCATCTAAATGGTCTGACTGATCGTGCTTTTTCTACTTATCTGCATCATCAACAAACTCGCAAAACACTTGCACAATTCGATCGGACCAATATACTGGTCCATGTCTTGCACAGTCGATAAATAAACACATTTAATTATTTTTTTAAACACGGAACCGAAGTGAGCAGCCAAAGCGGATGCAACGTCAGCGCTGGAGGTTAGAGACTATCTGGTCGAGTCCGCCAGCAAACACTCCTGGAAACGGTTTACAGCTGTTCTTCGAATTGCCGGTGGTTGTTCGTTTTCGCGCTGCTTCAAATACTCCACGGCCTGCTGTAGCTTCGTAGTTGTCGACCGAGCCGGAGAAAAGGCACTGTTCGCAGCCCGCGCCATCGCAGAGCAAATTTACTATATTCCCTGTCGTACCAATGTGGCGTGATACGTCCGACATTCAGACACTTGAGGAACACAAACCGATAACAGACTAATTGTACTCCATCTATGTAACTGACCAACAGGCTTCAGTCGATGCAACCTGAGACAGAGACCAATCTACTTGGCTCGCGGCTAGAGTTAGACTGTCGAATTTCGTTTTCCAGTAGTTGTAAGCTGGCTTCCGTACATGGAGATATTGCAGCGGCAGTCTCATGTTGGCATTGAGAACTGAGTGGTCACTTACTGCCAGAATCTCCAAGATCTGGATGTCGTACACACCTACAGACCTTGTTAACATCAGGTCTACGCACGACCGAGTAGAGCGCAATGATAACACAGTCGAACCCGCTTTATTGCGCAATTTAGCAAAATACAAAATCATTCTCATAAATATGCTCAATTTTCATTGTCTAACTGCCCATTGCCGGAGTCGTCCCACCGCTTAATTGCCCAGCTGCATGGGCTTTGCACTTGTCGCTTCATCAATTTTACGCCCCGTTCCTACTAGCTTTCGTTACGATTACCCCACCACTTGCCAGTCCAATGGAGTCAAGGACATGAAAGATGTCGGCAGCGTTATTGACAGATAAGAAATGGTTACCTAAGTCATTTAATAGACCAGCAAGCTAAATGTGCAGACGGCTGTCGGCAAGCATTCGGCCCTATTCCAAACTCCAGGACTGAGCGAAATCGGGTAATCTTTCCGCTCCAAATTTGTCAGTGCTCTAATGATAACATAAAAGTATGGCCAGTAACAGAAAGGATTTGTTCTTTAAGGAAAAGTTGGATATTTTTGAGAAAATTAAAACTTAACCAGGAGGAACCTCGCAGGTTAAGTTGTCGCGTGGTTTACACACTTCTCGTCGTACCCTAGTCAGGTTGCTTGCCAGCAAAAAGGAATCGCGGCAGAATTTGTCGCATGTCACTTCAAGCTCTCAGAAAAGGAAGCGATGTGGAAAGGGTGAAGCAGTTAAAACTGCATCGAATGACTAGATGATACCGGTTCGTGAGCAGAACCAAACGGTTACAGACCCGCTACTGAAGAAAAAGGCAGAAGACTTCGGGGAAAGACTTGAAAAAAGCTTTGCTGCCACAGTAGGATGGTTGCAATGACAGAATAAAAATCAAATTGTGTATAAACATGCGCATTGGAGAAAATAGTTCCGCGGATAGAGCAGTCTGTAATTGTCTGAACTTGGAAACGTATTTGATGATGATAAACGCGTACAATGTAGAGGAAACAGGCCTATTTTACCGAACAACTCCAGAGTGCTCTTTGTGTTTTTCTGCCGACAAGCTCAGCGGATCGAAAAAAGCCATTGATAAGATCACTCTCCTGTGCTGCGCGTATGTCAGACACGGATAATGGAAAACTGGTTTCAATTGGCAAAATGTAAGAAACCACGAATCGTAATGGCGTGAACGTAAAAACACTTCCCGTAACGTACAGAGCTAACAAAAAAGTGTGGATAACGAGTCCTCTAACGGGACAAGAGCTAGGCCAATGTAACCAAAAAATTAGGTTGATTTTGGATAATTGTACAGCGCATCCACAGATAGAATGCATGAAAAAGATTCAAATGGAATTTTTTACGGCAAACATGGCCAGCATTCTTCAACTCATGGACGAAGGTGTGATTATGAATCTAAAAATCCATTATAGAAAGAAAACTGTGGACGGAATTCTTTATCCCATCGAAAACATGTTATCTGACTGATCCTCGGCGGTGCACGTCGGCGCCAAGATTTCTGTGCTCGATGCAATTCAGTTCACTACAAAATGTTGGAGACAGGTTACCGGTGCAACAATATAAGTTTGCTTTCCGCATGCTGACTTCAGTCGACTGGTATCGGGTGCACTTTCTGATGACGCCGTCATCGCTGAGGACGAGATCAGCGCTTGCACAATTCCAGTCATCAATGCAGAAGAGTTCGTCGCCATTGACAACGATGTGGAATGTACTTTAGATCTGACAACTGTTGAAGATGAAATCGTCAGTAAAATTTTAGAGAACCGACTAGAACAGAAAGAAGGCAGCGACTCAGAGGATGACGTGCCGGATGCCTTTGTGAGTAACAGCAATCCATGAGTAGCGCATTTAAGAGCAAAGACGTTTGAATGATCTGCATAGCTACGGACTTTTGCATTGGCTAAGCAAAGATTTCTTATCCAAAATGGACTTCAGAAAGGCAAAAGTGACTTCAGTAGCGGCGCAAAATAATGTCCAGTTGAGGCTGGATTGTTTTCTCTGCAAAAATACACAGTTGCGTTAGCTTCTATAGCTATCCAGATAAGATGCTGTATGGTAGAATTTTTAAATTAAAGAGCATGCTCTCCTGAATAAACGTCTTTTGTAAGCTTTTGTTACAAGTACGTATTTTATCCTGCGTTACAATGCAAGTGATATACTGTACAATAATTCAATGGTTGTCTCACTTTTGGAAAAAATGGCAATATCGGTTAATTGCCCACCCCGCTTTATTGCTCACTTTCGAAATATCCGATGGTGGGCCATAAAGCGGGTTCGACTGTAATACGTATGTTTCCTGATTGTACGAGATGTCCAGGGATGGTGGACAGATCATGGGTACGATAATTAACAACGGTATGCACGTCGGTTGGTGTATGTATTGGACGCGGATGGGTGAGGCATTGGTAACACCACAGTAGGATAGATTCAAGAGAGGTTCCACGGCCTCAATCAACACCTTATGGGTACTGGTATCAACTGGTAAGTCCTGTGATGTGTGTAAAATGGGAAACAAAAGAAACTTACCTGATGTGTCTGGCTTGATCGGAGTTGGAAGATATTCCGACTTCGGTATCGACGCTTGGTTGGGTAAGCGATTCACTGCGACGATAGCAATGCGACCCAGATCGTCCGCGAGATCCACTTGCGTACCGTCGTGGGATAAACTGAGACTTGCCAAAGCAATGGGTTGATTAGAGGGCATAGCTATTGGTCGGAAGGGGGCCCACTCCTCAGTTAATCGGGACAAGCGCATGGAATCAAAGTTGGCCTGATACGCAAGTAGGGTGCCACGAGAACTAACAGAAAACAGGCGTCGACTTGGCCGGTGGACCTGGGAACAGTTGAAAGAGGGTGGGAACACTGGTTCAAAAACCGACAACCGCTGTGATATCGTGAAAAGCTAGTTATTTGCGAAAAATGTAGCGAGTGTACTATATCTCGAAGAGCGATGATAGCCTGTGGAGATGCTTCACATGGAGCACCTGCTTACAAGGTACGTTTTCGTGGTGCACACATAACAGCCGGATAAGGAAGAATACGAGCAGGAAATGCGATTCATTCTGGACCGAACAGCAAAGTCTTGACAAGGATACCCCAACAAATTGTAGTGCCCACGAAGAGAATAATGTCCAAAGACTGCATCTATGATTAGCCCCATAATGGTATATGCGTGTTTGGCGAATCGATGATTTGTATGAAAATCATGCTTGATAGTCACTTGCGTGTGATTGGGGCTTTAAAACACAGACTCAGGCGTGCTTAAGGTTGGGGATGGGCCGTTGCGCATTCAAAAACGGAGACATTTTGTGAGTCCAAAGATACAATCAAAACAGGGCGCTTTGCTTGAAACCGATAATGTATGAGTATCCCGGGGTTACTAAGCGAGGAGATGCCATAAGACCGGTGGGATCTTCGTCAACGCATCTATCTCAGATGCAGCCAAATTTGAGGCGGAACGCGGGGGTAACCGTATGGCGCAAAAGCATTCAAGGAATGCCAATGACTGCACTATAGGAGCCAGCGCAGCCACGGAAACAGTTAGACAACAATCTGCTTCTATCCACTACTCCATACAACCCACACGCAAGCCCACTTTCAACAACTCCAAAGTATAGACGTAAAACTCATCGGTGATCGTCGATGCTATATTCCTCCTTGGCAAACTGTTTATTGCAGAGTAGACTCCAGTGTCATACTCCGTCCCCTTGTCTCATCAATTCCCTCTCGACTGTGTTACAACTTAGCCCATTGTTTCATTACCTTACATTGGTAGTGTGAATATTTGCGGTATAAAAGCCACATCGCCTCCGTCGCCAGCATCGGTCACACGAGATCTTCGTAGCTCCTTCACATTCACTACTCTAACCAACCCGCATCAAACCCCCCTTTCAACATCCTCATCTCAAGTGCTGTTTTGGGACGCAGCACTCAAAGATAAAAATGCCGACTATTTCCATGGGGTACAAGTTCGAAGAGCAGAACGCTACGGTAGCAGTAGTGGCAGCGATACGCTTACCTTGATCGTTACCTTACCTCTGTTGATCTCATCAATTAGGAGTTCACTATATTTATCAGCAAAACCAATGAAGTTTTCTAATGTCCAAACCATCTATGGAGTTGCGGGATATCAGCCTCTTAGTAAAAGGTAGAGTGTGCAACGCTGCGACAAAGCCCGCGCTATTGTACGGATCAAAGATCTGACAAGTTCGCAGTGATCACAGGTGTTTGTATGGTGTTGCTCACATCTAGTAGAAGCATCGAGTGGGCACTGCTATCTGCCGGTTAGTGAGTGGCAAGAAAGCCTCTGATCCCGTTGGCTAGGTCATGTCTCCCATAAGTCTGTCGATCGCCTTCCCAGGCGTGCATAAGATGCAGTCGCTGCACAAAGTCGAACAAATGCGCCAGGTGGCCAGTTGATGACGTGGCACGACGGAATGAAGAAATTGACTGAGAAACTTGGCAAGGCTAGTGGATGCAGTGTTAGTGGATGGGGGCATCGGAATAGTCCACCTGAGTGGTTAGTGACTCTATCGGACATGGCGCAGTTGCGCAGTTAGTGGCGTTCTTGCTCTTGCACCTAGCTGACGACGTGAATCGGGCACCTCTGTGCCCGGATCACACACTTATTTAACTGCGATCAGTGTTCGAAATGAATTAGTTTTCTTGACAAACGAAGAGTACCCACCACGAGATAACTATGGAGATGCGAAAAAACAGACAAGCGTACAATAGAGATCTACCTTCATATCTTGTACCCACCCAGGGTGAACCAGGGAATCCACTAGGCGAGGGTCATCAGCTGAGTCACCCAACACTCCAGGGCTGATGTCATTTTCGTTTTCAGAGGTGGGCTTGAATTTACCTGAGTCAATCAATTCATCGCAATCATATCGCCATAAGCAGACACGGTTCACCTGGGGAAGTGGAATGGAATGAAACAGAGCGTGAAAATAAAGGCGCTTCAATTGAAAGAAAGCGAAAGCATGAGTTGGCCTCCACAATACAAGTGAACGAACGACAATGTCGAAATAAAGATTAATGATCGATAGAGGATGTCACAGACGTACGATACACAAAACGTGACTACGCAACAGAAGGACTGTGAAATGACCTAATTGGGTTGGGACAAATGATCCATTTGGATCAACAGTGCAGTGTATGAAATACCATAAATGCATTGGGTTTCATTACAATTAGAACAAACTTGTATAGTTTCCACCCGACACAGAGTGGAAAGGTGGTATGCACGGATTGGGACAGATAATGTGTAACCGGGCAGATAGCATCATCGTAGTGAGGCTGAGGATTGGTCACAACGGGCGGTTCTCATGAAATGGTAGTTACAATATGGAGTAGTAAGGGCGAGGTAGCTAGCAGCAGTATGCCGGTACGCAGAAACACTATCGCAATGAAGCTGGACCTTACCGTGGCGCGATGGTTTGCGTGCTTCAGAGATCCATTGAGCTATGCTGGGTGGTACTTTTATTGCACCTTCAGAGCCACTCATACCAGATTGGTCAATGGTTAGAGGCCAGACAAACAGCCTCCTGGTCCTCCAGGTTGGGGGTTGGAATGAGGTGGCTCCTTATTCCTTAAAACGGACTCCTTGTAGCCGAACGCCAAACCCGCTGCCTTGCGGTCAGGTTTTTGAATCAAAGGCATTGGTTGAGAACCCTAGTCGTTCTCCTGTCTAGGGATGGGCAAGCTGACAGTATCCTGCCCACGCAATACAATGAATTCTATTCAAACAGTTTCTTGATGCTCAGGCCACCGCAGAGAATAATCAACGGTGCCCTATCTGTTGCATCGAGCACGGTGGATAGGGGTTTGGATGCTACTGCTCAAGCCTACATATCTTCTTATTCCCCTACTTACGCGTTTTCACTCTTACCGTCCCGTTCCAGCTTCACTTTTATCCCCCTTGTTTGCAACCTCCAATCCTCGGACACCCCATCTTGCCTTGAGAGGCTTTGGACCTTTTAGTTTCAACTCACATGTGAACGCGAAGCGTCATTCCTACCCTGTCGACAAGCCCATGTCTAAGCACGCGGCCAAGCCCAGTTCATCGGCTTCCATTTGGAGCCCTCGATCCTCCTTCAGATTGGCATGCCTTAATGTACGCACATTACTACGATTGATATCTGCTGGTTATCGGAGACCGGCCTGCAAGACACGAGCTCAGTGCTCATTTTGCGATCCCTTTCAGGTGACACCAGAAGCACTTTCTCATTGCATCCATCCGGTGACGATGCAGCTTCGAGCACCGGCCAAGCCGGTGCTGGTATTGCCTTGAGTCTCCAGACTGCTGCTCTGGTTGATGGGATTCCAATCAGTAGCCGGTTGTGTGCGGTCCGATTAGCTGGCTCGTTCAACGCTTCGAAGCCGCACGGGACTAACTGGTATCTATTTGTCATCGCTGCCTATGCACCCACAAACTCTAGCGATGATTTGATAAAAGACGACTTCTATCGCCAATTGAACGAGCTCCTTCGCCAGAGAAGAAGCTCGGACACCGTTATGCTGGCTAGGAATCTGAACGCTAAAGTTGGAAAATTATCCACTGATGAACTGCATCTGGGCGGACAACATGGTGTAGGCTCCAGTAATGAGAACGGTGAGCGGTTACTTCATTTGTGTGAAGATTCTCGCTTATTTCTTGCGAGCACTAATTTCCGACACAGCACCCGCCAGAGGGTGACTTGAGCTAACCGGCCTCGAACCAGTTATGGACGCAAATCAATCACATTGTAATCAGTTACCGATGGAGAGGCTACGTTTAGAACTGTCGCTCGATTTGGAGCACATGTGTGGACACTTGTATGCGCTGACATGCGGATACGTTTTGGCGGACGCCCACGACGACGTTGTGAGCGCATTAACACCAGCCAACTGGCGAAGCCAGCTGTTCTGAATGCGTATCAAAGTACGCTATCATGCGATTTGAGTAAGCGCTCAGTGGTCTCATATTCACTAGACTTTACAAGCAGCAGGAAAATCCTCATGTGGTAAGTCTAATCGCCAACATGGACATTGGGTCTCTTCGCTGTCTCTGAAACTTGTCGATACTCGCCGGCATATTCCGGCTGGAAGCGAACACAATGAGACTCGCGAAGAGATCCGGACAAAACACCGTCCTAGCCTGAAGAGAGACCGCGAATCCTGGTAATCTCATCGTGCTTCAGAGATGGAAATGGCCGCTGCTCTCGAGAACCATCGTAAGTTATTCCGGCTGATACGGGAAAGGGGCAACAAGAGACCTGGTGTTAGTACAACTATACGTGACGAAAGTGGACAGTTTATCCACAACTTGTCAAAACGCTTGGAGCATTGGGCTGAGCATTTTGAAAGGCAATTTAATCGGTTGGTATTGCTAGATTTCTCGCCGGCCACTGATTACCCAGCTCCCTGGGTTGTCCCTCTGGATGCATCCTCTCGCTCAGAAGTCGAAGGTGAGAGCGGACTATTGAAGTTAAATAAAGACGCGGGACCAGATGATCTTCCTCCAGCCCTCTTTAAATTCAAGAGACCTGCTCTTGTGGGTGATTTATAGGAGTTACTAATGAAACTGTGGGAGCAGGAAACTGACCCAACCGACTGCAGCCGCCCCGTCATAGTCCCGATTTCAAGGGAGGCTCAAGATCAGAATGCGGCAACCATAGAGGAAGCAGTCTGATCTTCATTGCCTCAAATTTGCTTGTCTCTGTCACCATTCAAAAACTGACTGACACTCGTGAAAGCCATATTCGTGAAGGGCAAGCCGGGTTTCATCGAGGTCCTGGCTGCATTGACCACATCTTCACTTTGCGTGAGTTGTTGGAGCACCGTCACATATATTGGCGACCCAGCGTTGTCGTGTTCTTCTATATCAAAGGTGTATTCGATTCGGTGGAAAGACGTGCACTTTGTGCCTGCCTAAGTAAAGGTGTACCTGAGAAATATGTAAATATTATCCGAGCATTATACGCGCGTAGCTCAGGAAGAGTGAGGGCTTACGGCAAGCTGTCGTCGTCCTTTAATATCTCCAGCGGGGTGAGACAAGGATGCCCTGATGTCACTTTTCCTCTTCAAGTTCGCTATTGACGAAGTCAAGGAAACCGCGTTCACAGGACACGACTTAGAAGGTGTGGATCTGCTCCCAGGAGAACGACTTATTGACTTGGAGTACGCTGACGATATTGCCCTAATCTGTGACAGCTCACAAACGTGCCAAGCTGCACTGGACAGGTTAGCACTGGCTGTCCGCCACTTCGGGCTTTGCTTTGCATTCTCGAAGTGCAAAGCGTTCCTCCAAGATTGGCCTAGAGCGCATCCTTAGCTGATCCTTGGTGGGGATCAGCTAGAAGTCGTTCAAAAATTCAACTACCTGGGAAGTTGTATCAGCGCCCGTGGGATTGTAGATGAGATCACGAACCGTATAGCAAAAGTTCGAGGCGCTTTTGCTAACCTTCGGCACTTATGGCGCCGGCGCGACACCACTCTCGCCCTGAAGGGTAAAGTGTACAATGCAGCGGTACATTCGACCCTACTGTACGGTTGTCGAACCTGGCCCCTTAGATGGGCGGACATGAAGAGGCTAGTTACGTTCGACCACCGGTGCTTCGCAATTTAGCTCACATCTGGTTGGAACACCGCGTGAGCAACGAGCGTGTTTGACACTTTGTTTACGGCACAGAAAAAGGAAATAAACCGCTAAACCCCGTTATTTCACGCATCAAACTCCGATGGCTCGGCCACGTGTTATGCATGCCAGCCCAACGACTCCCGCGACGTGTGTTGTTTGCGCGCCAAGAGTGTGGATGGAAGAAAAGGAGAGGTGGCCAAGCGATGAGTTAGTCGAGAGGAATGAAGGCTTTCACTTCGAAGCTGGCCTCAGTTGGAGAGTCTCGGCTACCTGGTTGAGGCCTGAAAGACGATGAACACATTTCGCTGGATAAAGTTGTTGATATGGCTAGGAGCCGACCTCAGTGGCGTTCGTGCTGTGTGTTTCTTTGTCCCACCCCATCCATCTTAGTCTCCCCCTTCAACCACAATCTCACTATTTAGCCTTTTATAATTTTGCATAGTAAATTATTTTTTCTGCTGCATAGTAGCCGGCAGGTGGCTTACCGGAACGATGGCCGTCCGTTACTGGTAGCACAGCTGACTTGCACCTGTTGCACTTTTTTCCCTTTTTCTTTTAGGTATTGCGGCACAGTAGCTGAGGTGTTTCCCACCTCTAGTTAACGTGTGTAATGACGATAATGATGATGCGCAGAACCGACGCATCGCTACCGCGCAACCACCACCGGTCGCACTTGGGCTGAATTTACTGCGGGGGTCACGCGGTCCCCTACGTAGCTCGACCTCGCGTCCTCAGATTACAAGGCAGGCTGGTAATCCTTAATGCTATGGGCTGAAACAAAGGAGAGGACGAAATAGTAAGCTTCGTTCTCAAAACTGTGGGTTGATTGGGATGTGGCGACAATTAATTAATGCTGGTCATGATTGACAGAGCTACAATAAATTACAGATTCAGTCAGAAGGATGACACGGAAAAGAGCAGACAAGGCAAGAATGAGAGCACACGGAACAATCAGATGTAGGTGTTTTTACAGCGTGCCAGGAAAATATATATTTATGCACAAGTCTGTAAACAGACAAATGTGCCATCCGAACCGTGGTGGTAGGAAAAGGAGAATATAATGTTCAACGAGGAGAGTAAAACGTTAGAAATACGTTGTTTTTCAGTTTCACACATGACGTTTCGAGTTTTTTTGTTTTCATGCCTTGTTCAACATTAAAAAGTATAAGGTGTAGAGATGGTAGAACAGCCTTGACGCCACTGATTCCTATTGCGGGCCATATCCTCCAGGACTTCCAACCATTAGGAATCCGCTTTACGTGGTCCCGAGCCTGGGAGACGCACGGATCCAAC